CTTTTTCTGTCTCTTCTTGTAAAAATCTTTATCTTCCATTTTTTCTTACTACTCTCCTGTTTTTCTTCCGTTTTGTGCCAGCCTTTCTAATGCATGTCCACACTTGCCTATTACCTGTCTTTACTTGTGACAAGATTTCCATTCCCACCACTGCACTGAAACAGCAAACCTGGCAGCTCCCAAACAACAGCTGATACCAGTGACTTCCTTTATGAAACTCTCTTGCATAACTTCAATAAGACAACACTACCTGGAGCTGTCATTTGATCTGTGACAGAAGTCTTCCCAGGCTCGTTTTAAGTACCTTATTATGAGTGTGCCCCAACACACATAGTTAAGTGCCCCCTTCACATTCTCTCAGAACGCTATAAGGAATTCAAGGAGAAAGCAAGATTGGGCACAGAAAGCCTAGACTACAATGGAGATCAGACAAAATCTCGAACCAACCCAATGAGGAGCTCTGGGGCAAAGACTACTCATTAGAGTCCCACATTGGGTGGAAATGGCTGGGCTCTAGTTCTCCCACTTGTACTTGGTCTATGGCTAGGCCCTGACCAAAGAGTATGGCTTTGGCTTAGAAGCTGAGGGGAATGCTGAAAGCATAACTAACTACACTTTTAGCTAAATGGCAGATTCTTTTTTGAAAGAACATCTAAGTGGTGCATCTCTATTTTCCTTATACCTTTCCTTTAGTGTGGTCTATGAGTAGGTTTGGAGAGAATACTGAAATGGTCCATACCTCATTTGGGTGCTTCCGGTGGAATTCCTTTATTTGCTTGAGTCTATTATAGAATTCAGCAAACTCATTGGGTCCTGAAATGGCATTGAGCTCCTCCTTTCGTAATCTACAATTTCAGGAAAAATCCAAAGACCACAGAACACAAAGTCAAAATCAGTCCTCTAACCATGGCTCCTCAGAAGCACTAATTCCTAGATTGACTGTGACTGTCACTTACCCATCCTTATCATCATACAAATCCTTCAGGTTCCCACTGACCTCCATGTACCTCTGAAAGACAAACATAAACCCATCAGAATAAAGCAATTTGTACAACTGCAGAGCTAAGCAACCAACAATGGCTCTCTGGTCAAGGCCAAGTAAACCTTGAGAGATGTGGTATTAAGCTCTTGTGCTTTTTAGTGCCTTTAATAGTGAGAAATGGAGTTTTAATTCTCATGGAATCCAGATTTCTGGGTTCCATGGAGGATGGGGTGACCCATCCAAGCTATGTGCCCTGAGATGATCTTTGAGGCTTGATGAAACTAGCCTCCCAAAAGTCACCTTTAAGTCAAATAGTAAGACCATTTTGTGATCTTTTGATAGACAATTTAGGAAACTGGGTTTCCTATTTGCCTGGTTTTATGTTGCACTGTTTAAAAGTGTGGTGCTGTCTGAAATTGTTGATTAGTATAAAAACAATCAGAGAAGCCTGGTATTTCAGCTGGTCTCATAGACCAGTGAGTTTGTGGCACTCCTTTCTGTCTTGTTTCATCCTGAATACTTGGCTCTGATTCAGTGAGTATTCTGTCTGGTTTTTCTGCCCTCCAGTAGGTAGGGGGCATGCCTGTGGCTGACTCTACCAGCTTTTATGAGGCCATTTTAAATCTCAATTTCGTTCTTCTTCCACAAAAAATGGCTTCCTATGTGCGCCTGTGTTTCTAAATGGCACAATTTATAATAACTGGATATCTCATAGCTACTTTGAAACTCTCTTTGACATAAATTGGTGCATTTTGGAAAATACACTGAAAAAAGGATGGGTTGATTATTTTGGTTTAGTAAGTCTTCAAAAGACAAAAATTATTCTAAACTGCTTCTCTAAACGATTCTTAAAGCATACAGAACATAAGGTTATGAAAATGTAGTATTTTCCTACCTTTGGGTGATATTATCAAATTAGATTATAATTTTCCTTCAAAGAGCTTTATTTTGATTGGCTTAATGATAAGTAAGTGCTTCAATAAATAGAATAGTCTTGATATGCCCAAGAATTAATGAAATTGAATTTGTTCTGACAAAGGTGCTTTGCTTTTCTGGCAAAGGTTTTATTCTTTGTAGTATGTCAACTAAAGGCAGTTCCAAGATCTTTTTAAATAACTTAAGCTAGGCTGAATATACAAGATGTGTCCTGTTAAAGGAATTTTAGAGTAATTTTGTCCTAAAGTGAAAAGACCAGTTGTTGCACAGTGAGAAAAAAGGAAGATTTGGTGGGTTTATCTATAAAACTGTTAAATAAAGGTTTTAATGAAGAAAATAAGGTTAAACCAACCACCAAGAAAATGGCTGGTACTTGACAAAAGAAAAAACAAAGAATTAAGGGACTCCTGGAATTCTTTAAAAGATATCCAAAAATAGGATAAATAAGCTGGACACTGAGGGGATAAAAACAAAATCTATCTCAATACAATGATCAGAAATTGGGTGAATCCCCAACATAAAAGAACCATAAACAAATCCTCTATTGTCGAGGTATTTTACCAAAAGATAAAAGTCACAATAAAAAGGCACTAAAATTGATTGGGTAAATGTTTCCACCTCTATAGTGGCTGACTAGAATAGAGACTTTGTAATCACAATCAGTTGAAAAATCTTAAACGGGCTAAGGTTAAACTGAAAAAATACAGGAAACAGTGAAAGTTCAAATAAAAAATAAGAATATTTAAACAAACTTCAAATACTAGTCATTTTTTTGTGGTAGGTAGACTTGAAAATAATTTCCAGGATCTTTAGACAACTTAAAATCTTTAGACTGAACCCACTCCAGTGGCTTCTAGCCAAACAAAAGACAGCCACATGAGCTAAACATTTACTTAGGTTGATACACTCCTTGGAGAGAACAATCATGGGAGAAAAGAAGGGCTGTGTATGCACAGGGAGACAGCTCAGGTGGCAGGAGTGCATGGAGAGAAGGACACAGGGAAGAGGAAACTATGGGGAGGAAGTGGGAGGGGTGCTGCTGCATTCTGGGAAATCACTATGGAAGTAGATTGCTTCAGCTTCCTTCCGAGGAGTGGCTGGTGGGTTTGAACCGCCAGCTTTCTGGTTAGCAGTCAAGTGCCTTAGGTACTATGCTACCAGAGCTCCTGAGAATTTCTATAAGGAGCTGTAATACTGTTTAACTCCTGCAAATCAGAAGCTCTGCTTAGGCCTTTAATCCTTTCTAAGCAGATTTCCAATATAAGCAAAAGTAGAAGGCATAGTATAATGAATCTTCATTTACGTATCACCCGACTTTAACACCAACATTTTAGTTTTGAACAGTTCTTTTTTTTAAATAAGAAAATGAGGGGCTTCCGGCAAGATGGTGGACTAGGCAGAAGGATTGAAAACACACTCTTCAACAAAGAAAAGGGAAACCAATTAACACAGACACAGAAGAT